GCCCTTCTCTGTGTCAGCAACTTGGCAAAAACTTGATAACTTTAAGACTTGTGGACTTCAACTCCCAGAATTCCCCAGCCAGTCAATCCTACTTCCACAAGTCGTAAAGTTGCCACATTTGGAGACACACACACACACACCAACAGTGGGATTCAATTTTTTTACTACCGGTTCTGTGGGCGTGGCAGGGGAAGGATACTGCAAAGTCCCCATTTCCTCCCGATCAGCAGGGACTCGGGAGGCAGAGAATAGATGGGGGCGGGGCCAGTCAGGTGGAATTTACCGGTTCTCTGAACTACTCAAAATTTCCGCTATCGGTTCTCCAGAACTGGTCAGAACTCGCTGAATCCAACTTCTGACACAAACTATATGAACAGAGCCACTTCCTTGATTGAGTTTGAGCTGAATATACTTGCAGTGTTTTAGTACACTGATAAAATTTCCCTTTCCTAACAAAGCTGATATTATTTCTATTTTCCTGGAGCTCCATCATGCGATGACGTAGCTTCTGTCCTCTCCAGCTGATGCAAAGCTCTGCGGTTTCTCTCCAGATCCAGGTTTCATCACCTACCCGCCCATTTCAACGTCCCACACTCCCTGGGTGACCACAGTGGACAAGGCCTCCAGTGCTTCAGACAGCAGCCACTGGGAATACGCAGGCTCAAGGAGAGAGAGGGACCGAGAGCGCGACCAGACACCCACCACAAGTGAATACAGCAAGTGAGTGTCCTTCTGCCGCAATATTACTCATGGTACAGCTACATAAGTTTGAAACGGATGCTGGAATCACAACGTAATCACTACAATAACCATACAAGCGACCCTTGACTTAGGACCACAATTGAGCCCAAAGTTTATGTCATTAAGCAAGATAGTTGGTAAGTGAGGCTTGTCTCATTTTATGACATTTCTTGCCAGGATTGTTAGCATGTTGTTAAGTGAATCTGGCTTCCCCCTTGACTTTGCTTGTAAGAAGGTTGCATAAGGTGATCACATGACTTTGGGATGCTGCAACAGTCATAAATATGGACCCATTGCCAAGTGGCTGACTTACAATCACATGACCATGGAGATGCTGCAATGGTCATAAGTGTGAAAAACAGTCATCAGTCCTTTTTTCAAAGCTGTTGTAACTTTGAATGGTCACTAAATGAATGGTTGTAAGGTGAGGACTACCTGTATCCATTGTTTTCTTTCTCTCCTATCTTTTTTTTCAATCAGCATGTGCAGGATCTTGGCTTGTATTTCAGAGAAAAACATAACCCTTTCATGTCACAAGATAAAGGGGGAACTAATGGAGACAGAGCTGGGAAGGGAGATTACCTTCTAGCTGCTAAGAGATAAGCTTAGTATAATTGCACATACACAACTCAGCTTTTCTTGGCAGCCAAGTCGTTATTTTGACACCTTAGTGTTAAATCCACAAAATATGACAAATGGAAATTCTAAGAAGAAACCACAGCAACAAGAAATGAATAGTCAGGTTGAGACTACCTGAGGCCATAATGAGAGGCTTTCAGTTGTGTTTCAGCTTTTAAAAGAATGTATTTGGGTTTAAAAGTAGAAATGGAAGAGGAAGCTTTTGAGAGACAAACTGCTCACACATCCTTAAGACCTCCCAGATGAACTTCCTGTGGGAGGAGCTGTCGCCGAAGGAGCTCAACGGAGCCCCTTTCAGAGTTCTGGTCTGTATATCTAATTAAGATCAATAGATATCACCCCTTTCTGGCAGAAAGGGGCAGGCAGAAGCTCAGGTGCTAGGATTTATTCGTAGTTCACAGCCCCCTTTCTTTTTTGGGGGGGCTGCGAACGGAGAAGAGATCCAGCGTAACTGAGCTCTTATCTCCAGCCAGTTCCTCGCAGCTGCCTTTTTGCAGCCCTAGACAGACGACCCCCCCACTCAGGACAATGATAAATTGTTTAAAGCAACTTAAGGCAAACGAGCAGGTCTCACTCCTGTGATGTTTTTTTTTTTATAACTATCTAAATACCAGCCTAGTTTTTCCTTTGAAACTTCTTTGTGCAATTGGGATACAAAATGGCGTTTTTACTGTGTTGGTGATTGATGACGCAATTAACCGGCTTTATCTCCCCGGAGACTGCTACTCATTAACAAGCAAAATCTACAAATAATTTATTGAGAACTGACCAGGTGAAGACACTGTTTATCTGTTTATTCTCAGCTTTTATCTATAATGCCTCCCAGGTCTAAGCAGGCAAAAAAATCCCCCCCGCATGTGCTTAAAGAACTTGTTAGTAAATCGCTGCCTTTGCCTCCTACACCCCCTACTGGAGATTCCTTGACACAAGAGCTTTTTTTTCAAATACTCAATGACTTTAAACAAGAAATCAAAGAATTTGTGCTGGATTTATGCGATAAAATACAGACTAAAATTGCCCAAATAAAGGTGGATATG